TCTCTTGATGACAGAGGCTTCTTTACTCCAAGTTTCACCCTTCTTCCTTCTTCTATAGTCCAGTAGGAGAAATGACCAGGCCGTTAAAGCCAAATGTCTATACATTCTGATGAAGAAAGAAAATTCTGGGTTTCAGCAATAAAATTTTGTTTTAAATATCTTATTGCTGTGCTCTGAATCTTGATGTCCTTCCCTCTTGGGCACAGTTCCTCTCAGGTGGCCAGAACCACATAGTTCAGAATCCTCCATTCGGGGAGCCCTCCATGCCCAGAGGCACCAGCTGACAGAAATGTCCCCTATTCACAGTCTCTGATTTCTACCTTTCTGGGATCCAGTTTGGGGGCAGGGAGAAAGGAATTAAAGGCAGGAATTAAAACAAGAAGAAATGAATCAGAAAAAAAAAAAAAGGAAAACCAGGAGGAAAGGGACAAGAAAAATGGAGAAAAAGAAAAGAAAGTAAATGAAAAGGACATAACAATGTTAAACAAATGGAATTCCAGTCAAATAAATGATTTAGAGTGTTAGATTCTCCTTATATAAATGTTTTTGTCTTTTATTATTGTAAACATATATATCAAGCAGTACAAATTTATGTAAAGTAAAAAAGAAAAATATGTAAGCCTCTTCACTCACTACTCCTTTCTTCTTTCCAATGGTTGCTAACCATTCATAGTTTAGTATGTTTCCTACTGAATATTCTCTTCACATAAAGAATAAAATATTTTATTCACATGAAGAATCATAGCATAAAACTGACCTGTGACATATTATTTTTCAGCTAAAAATATGTATAGGACTTTCTCCCATGTATTACATATAGATTTATCTCTTGCTTTTTAATAGCCACGGAGTACCTGAACTCTATTTGACCAGGATTTACCTGGTCACCTCTTGATAAGTGTTTAGGCTGGTTTTTTGTTCTCTTCCTTTAAATAAATAATTTAAAAAGGAAAAAAATCCAAAAATGTTCTAGAAAACGTTTGAACATTTTACTGACATAATAAGTTTTTGGCAACACTATAGTGTGTATAATTATTTACCAGTGCCTCCACTAAGTAATGGGCATAAAAATGATAAGGGTACAAGTGAGGTGACATGCTGAGTTCTCAAATGAGAAAACAAACCTTTTAAGTCTAGTTCCTGGTTCAGTTATTTAAACAAAGGAAGCAGTTTAGTTAAGATTTGGATCTGACAATATCTGTCTGCTAAGAAGATATAGATATTTTCAGGGGCGCCTGGGTGGCTCAGTCGTTAAGCGTCTGCCTTCGGCTCAGGTCATGATCCCAGGGTCCTGGGATCGAGCCCCACATCGGGCTCCCTGCTCAGCGGAAAGCCTGCTTCTCCCTCTCCCCCTGCTTGTGTTCCTTCTGTCGCTGTGTCTCTCTCTGTCAAATAAATAAATAAAATCTTAAAAAAAAAAAGAATATATAGATATTTTTAGTAAGTTAAAATCATAGGCTATGGAATTTAAAGAAATTAAAGAGCTTGTTTGGTCCTACATACCCTCTCATATTAGAGATTAGACAACTGTGGCTGGGCACAAAAAAACTGTGTTTGGTTTTGCCTGGACATATACACTAGTATTTTGCTAATATCATTTCTACGTTTGTAACCTAGTAACTGAATATTATTTCACTTATTTATTTATTATTATTTTTAAAGATTTTATTTATTTATTTGAGAGAAAGACACACAGCGAGAGAGGGAACACAAGCAAGGGGAGTGGGAGAGGGAGAATATTTCATTTATTTAAAATTATTTCATCCATTGTCTTGCAGGGGTAAGCAGACATAAGACCAGGGCTCCAACAGAGTTCTGTGGGTAGCACTATGGGCCTACATAAGAGTCTTAGGTGTTATTGGGACAGCTGCACAGCAGAGGTAATATTGGCACTGAGAATCTTGAAAAATAAACAGGAATTTTCAGAAGGACAAGGAGAGAGATCATGGAGGTTTTCCATGTACAGTCATGATCTATATATATATTTTTAAAGATTTTATTTATTTATTTGAGACAGAGAGAATGAGAGAGACAGAGAGCACATGAGAGGGGGGGAGGGTCAGAGGGAGAAGCAGGCTCCCTGCCGAGCAGGGAGCCCGATGCGGGACTCGATCCTGGGACTCCAGGATCACGACCTGAGCCGAAGGCAGTCGCTTAACCAACTGAGCCACCCAGGCGCCCCCAGTCATGATATATTTTATCATGGGACATTTACTGGGGCATTTTTGAGAGTAGACATCTTAAAACAATGCAATTTTAAGTGTGTATGTTGGAACATTGGAGAGGTGATGAACAATTTCATGAGATGGGAAACTAAATCAAGGTTTGAGATTATTTGATGGATATAGAATCAAGCAAATATCTTTGTCCATCAACATCCAATTATGAGTCCTTGGCTGGTTAGTCTCTACTACTGAGGGCTTGAAACTAGGAATCAGAACTCCTGGTTGGTAAATTTCTTAAAATGAAAAATCATAAAGTTAGAAAATTAAATTAAAAAAAATTAAGTTATATGTTAATTAGACTAATAAAATTTCAATAAAAGAAACTGAGAAAATGTGGTTTTAGGTAGTGGTCACTGTAAATCCAGGAGCCTCCTTCACTAGAGACACAAATATATAGGACCACCCTCTTTCTTAGATATTTATAGATACACAATGATAAAATTTGTGTTCAATTTCTCTCTCTGCCTTTTTAAAGTGTGCCCAGATTATCCTTAATGTTTCTTTCTGGGGCACCTGGGTGGCTCAGCTGGTTAAACGTCTGCCTTCAGCTTAGGTCATGATCTCAGGGTCCTGGGATAGAGGTCCGTGTTGGGCTCCCTGCTCAGCTAGGAGTCTGCTTCTCCCTCGTCCTCTGCCCCTTCCCCCTCTGCTTGTGCTCTCTCTCTCTCAAATAAATAAATAAAATCTTTTTTCAAAAAAATTTCTTTCCAAGTTCTCTTGCTTTTTTTTTTATTATGTTATGTTAATCACCATACATTACATCATTAGTTTTTGATGTAGTGTTCCATGATTCATTGTTTGCATATAACAACCAGTGCTCCATGCAGAACGTGCCCTCTTTAATACCCATCACCAGGCTCACCCATCCCCCCACCCCCTCCCCTCTAGAACCCTCAGTTTGTTTCTCAGAGTCCATAGTCTCTCATGGTTTGTCTCCCGCTCCGAGTCCCCCCCTTCATTCTTCCCCTCCTGCAAATAATACATTATATGTTAAAAAAAAAAAAAGTTCTTTTGCTTCTTAACCTTCCTTGGCTTCTCTTTAATTTCCTGAAGTTGGTCTTTCCAAGGGTGTTTCCCTCCTTGTTTGCTCTCGATCTCATCCTCTTGCATCCATTTCCACTTGTTGCTCATTTCCATAAAAAACTTCAATTTTATTTGGATGTCCATTCTTCCTCCACCCAGCCATGTGCTTCTGGGAGTGTTGACTTCATTTCCATCTCCAGAGGATTAAATTCCGAGTATTGTATCAATCTAATCTCATACCTCTTGCCAGTAATTCCTTTAGGAGAGGACATGTAGTATAGCCAAGGAAAAACTACTGGAATTCTGGTGGAGGCTGCCAGGAAAGGTTTTCTTATTTATAAGAAAACAACCTAGGAAAAGGTGGTTTTTTTCCATGTTCTGGATTTTGTGGTGTCTAGATATAATTTCTGGAATTGCTGCAGCCATCTGTAACCATGAGAGCGGAGAAATGGAAGAGAACTTGGGTTCTTGATGATACTGTTCAGTCATTAAATTAACCAATCCTGGAGTCTACCTTGCATTTGAACTTCCTGTCATTTGGGATAATAAATTATTTAAGTCAGTTTTAGTCAGAATTTTCTGTTATTTGCTGCCAAAGGCATTGTAAGTATATAAAAATGATTCAAATTTATTTCTTAAACCCAGGCCTCTCCTCAGTCTCATGTTGCATATACAGCTGTTTATCAGGCATTTCTATTTGGAATCCTAAACTAGTCCTGACAAGTGATCTGTAGGTCATAAACTAGTTATTTTATAAGTAATAAGAATAAAATTTTGTAGTTACAGTCAGACCCTGATAACTCTTCTTTCTGAAGAACTAAACAGTTTGATAGGGTCTCAGTGAACTGCAGGAAAAATAGTTCCCAAAGTTATCAAGTGCCCCTGAGAATCAGTCTCAGAGGAACTTGGTTATTGGAAACACAGTAATTTATTTGCCTCCTTTAAATGGAGTCTTCATTAAATATACAGAGGGCAGGTAACCTAATTCAGTACAGTTCAAAAAAACATTTATTGTCTGTGTTCTAAAGTACATATGCTGGGATGGATGCCATATGGGGCACTCAGAAGAGTATGCTATCATGGGGGTCTCTGAAGTCCCCACCTCCTGGGACAACTGCTTTATGTAGAATATAAGGGACTGCTCTGAAGCTTCAGAAACCTTCTGTCATTAACCTAAGGTGGAATTCTGCTGCAGGGAAGAAGCAATCTGCCAGTTTATGCCCTATTGAATGGCAAGCAATTGAGCTGTCATCTTTCTTGGGAGCATATTCAAGTGAGAAAGTTCTCAGACACAAAAGAGAAATAACCTGTTCGCTGGAGGACCAGTGGTATTTGAAACTAATGAAGTTCCTAAAGTAGGGATGACAGAAGAAAAATTTGTGTGCACTCCACTCCATGGTGCCCTGTCCAGAGAAATCACGTGGTACAATGGAAAAGACCCTGGACTTGGAGCCAGAAGTGCAGTTTAGGGATCAGCTCTGCCACTCGATGGTTTGGTGATTTTCAGAGTCTTTTCACTTCCTGAATCTCTCTTCATCTATAAAATGGGCATGCTTGTTCTAGCCCACAAGGTTCTTGTGACGATCAAAGTTGGTAATGAATATGAAAATGTTTATAAACCTCAAGGCTAACATGGTAATGCCAATAAACATCTCGGAGATGAGAGTAACGGTGTTAAATCCAAGTGCTCTGTCTGATTTCCACATCTGCTTGTGAGATAGAAACTTTTGCTTTCTTACTGCCTCAGGAAATTAAAACATAGACATTCATGTATATTTGAACATGAACTTTAGAGGAATATATAAGAATAACATAAGAATTCACAGAGATACACAGCAATATAGAAACAGAAAATAAAAACTTCCTAAAAATAAATTAAATCTTTAATAATATATAAACTACTACCCATATGCCATGCACTGTGTTATCATTCAGTTTTATTATTTTAACAAAACTTTATAAGGTGTTATGATCTCATAAAACTGAGTGATCACATGGACTATCTTTGAGTGTATGTATGCAGTTTGTTTTAGCGGAAATTGTCTTATTAACATGGAAGTGCACAAATGTCAAAAACAAGGGAAACTTTTATTCACAAGTATTTTATTTATTTTTGTTTAAAAGTCTATCAGTAGGATATATTCTTTAATGAACACTAGGAATACAATTCTATTCCAAGTTAGAAGCAGTAATAGAAAGTTAAAAATTTTAACAAGAGCTCAGCTAAGATTACGTTTAGTAATAAGGAAAGAACTTTAGGCTGGTTTTAAAAGATTAATTTGTTAGGTAAACATCTGGGTTTGGTTCATCACTTGCCTTGGAAACCTTGATTAATTTATGAGATTTTCATCCCCATATACTAAAAAAGCAGTGAGTTACCCGGTGTTATACACCATTGACGGCAAAAGTTAATTGGATTCTAGACCCTTTCACGTTTATCCCTTAAGCAATTCCTTGTTGCTTTGAGTGGAACCATGCTCTAAGAGAGTCTGTATATTTGTGTGTCAGAGAGCAATACAAAAATGAGAGGAATTACAAGTGACTGAAAAGTGAGTTTGAAAAAATAAAAATACGTGTTTGTATTTCCTTTGGTTTGTGGTAAGATACTCTGGAGGGAGACACAAAATTAGCCAAACCAAAAACCAAAACCAAAAACGAATACAAACAGCTGTCTTGGCACATACTTTTTATAAGATTTTGATTGTGAGCCATGTGAATGTATTATTACCTATTCAAGAAAAGGCTGTATAAGATGGTCTGTGATTGAAAGTGTTCCAGGGTTGGGTCTTGGAAGGGGAACACAGAGATACAGCTGTTGCTCATTGTAGTTAATCAACTCTTCAAGTAAGACCAGAAAGAGCCTTGGGGAGGGAGGGAATTCAAGATTGAGGAAGGAGAGAGGCAGATGAACCTTCGGGGAGTGTTGGCTGGGAAAGCTGACCTGCTCTTTTCCAGCCCTGTGAGGGGATTGCAACCTTTCTTTGGCTCTGACAGTTACAAATTGCATTCAGTTTAGAAGTCCCTCCTTAGACATCCACCTGCATATGCTGTGTGATCTTGGTATAATAAAATAATACTCAGAGATGAAGGGGAATTCATCATACTGGTTATTGACCTCATTTCTGCTTTCAATTTGCCTTTGTAAACTCTCATTGTTCCTTCACCCTGTTTTCTTTATCAACTTTATTTTTTGGGTGTATTTTATCTTGTTACATTATGCATTTATATGAGCTACCATAAATCCTTTCTGGAACTAGAAGGTGTATGAAAGAATACATGCATAACTAGTTTAGGAAAACGTTAACACGTTATTTCTGAGAGGTGAGAATACAAGTGATTTTATATTATTTTTCTAGCCTTATTGCGATATAATTGACCTATAACATTGTATAAGTTTAAGGTGTGATGATTTGGTACATGTACATACTGTGAAATAATTGACCACAATAAGGTTAGTTAACACAATCATCACCTCACATGATTGCAATTTTCTTTTTTGCTGTTGTGAGACTGTTTAAGATCTACTCTCTATAGGTGATTTTAATTATCTTATGGTTAGCCATCTGCATTTCCAAGTATGTATGTATATATATTATATATTTATTTATAGTGGGCATTAATTCCTTTTCTGATTATACATATATATAAAATCTCTCTATATAACCTAATTATATAATCATATAATATATATCACATATATATGAACATATATTATACCAAATGCAAAAGAAAATGTTTGTGGTAGGACTGGTGGACTTTTCCAGCAGAGAAATACATGAGGTGGTAGAGAAAGAAGACCAGAAAGGGGTTGTGGGACTTTGTCTTAATTTTCCTTTCACCATGTGCTTCTATGAAAAGGCGGGAAGTACAGTGTAAATGCAGTGGTTCCTTTGAAACACTTTGAAAAAGAAATGCTATTCTTGTGATTTCTTTCTCGTGTATAAAATAATAGGTCATGAGACAGAGTTTAAAGTCAGTAAATACAGGTGTATACCTTCTTTTTTAATAGCTGCAGTGTGAACCATTGTATGGATCTAACGTCACTTAAAAATCCCCTATTGTTGAATATTTGGGTTGTTTCTACCTTTATTTGGCCAGAATGAAATCTTAAAGTGTGGCATTGTCAGGTCAGAGTGTTTGTAGCCAATGTCATTACACAAAAATATTCATCTTTCATCTTCAAGACCTACAACACTCAGATGACCTTTCTGTGCCCACTCCCTGGGCCTCTTGCATCCTGCACAGTTGCCTCTCTGCTACTTTGTACACCTACTTCTCTCTAGGTCTCAGACCTTCCCTTCACAGAGTTTCTGCAACCTGATCCTTGGTCATCTAGTTTTATCTGGTACCATTTATCTAGCAGTCTTGGCTAAAGACGATTGTGATCTGAATCAGTTATTTCCCCTGGAGGTTGTAAAATGGTGTTTTCTAATTCTGCCACTTGGTCTACTGATTTTTTAAATACAGCAATATACAAGAAGGGAGGCCCTTCCCAGAATCAGCAATTCAATCAAGTAAAAATTTCAAGCCTGAAAAAAAAAATAGCCATGAAAGAGGAAGATTCTTATTTTAGTAGTTCTCTATAATCTACACTTTATTGCACACTGGGAAATAAGGATAAAAAATCTAATTGTACAATCTGACTTTTATGTAAAATTTTTGCCCTACAAGACAAAGAGTCAAGGTCATATAAAAGCAAAACCAGAATAATTTATTTCAATGCATCTTTCCTTGAACAAAAATAAAAATAAGACTTTAATGTGTCATTTCCTTCAGTATTTTATGTCTTTTCAAAAAAGCCACTGGTAACTGACGACCTAGGAGAAGGCAAGTCTTGCTGTTGTGAGAGCCATCCTTATTGGGTGGTACAAATAGCAGGAAATAAGTTTGGGAATAAAATTTTAAAAGTTAATATGGTAATTTAACAGTAATGAGAATTAATAAAACAAAGCCTACCAGAAATTTTACAAATATAAAATTTCCATATTCGTGAATTAGATAGGATAGTCAATGTTGATGAAAGTGAAAGTGTAGATTAGAACTAATTGAGCTTCTTAGAGAAATTTGAGATGAAAAGAGTAACTGGAAAGTCCCGTCTTTTTTTTCCCCCTCTCAGTCACTATGATAAAGATTGTCCCCTGAGGACTACTTCCCCACCATGTTCCTCTACAACACAATGCATTGTGTGTATGCTGGAAAACCTTCAGTACAATTTTTATAAATGACTCTATTCTGCATTTAAAAGGAGTAATGAGCAAGAGGTATTGGGCTTGATTTCTTCACTGATTCCAGATGAATATACATTTCCACTGTTTTTCCTCAAAATGTTCCTTCATTATTTCACTCCAATGCACTGCTTTACCCATGAATGCTCACCTGGCAAAAAGATGTTACAAGATATGTAAAATATTCTACAGATTTCCAGTTCCACAGGTAGAAGAACCTTAAATTTTTTCTTTCTTTCAATAGCTGCAAATAATAGGAGTGTTTTGAATTAGATCAAGAAAATTACATTTATAAACCAATAAGTGTAAATAAGCAATCACTAAATTCTGTAGATAATTTCCTTTTGAAAGTAAAGGTTTTCTTACTCAAATGTCCCGATTTTAAGATACTAACAGCCAGTCACGGGTTCAAAACAAACTGTGCCAGGAGCTTTAATGAGGTCAACAGATAGCATTTAAATAAATGTAGCCATAAGTTCAATAACCAAATAACTGGGCTGAGTACTAAAATATGAAAACAGGTCAACTTACCAATTTGCTAAACACCAGTCCAATTAGGTAACAGACACATACAGTAATGAAAACAACACTGTTAGAATAGTCTAAGAGCCAAAGAAAAGAATTTTTTGGCTGTCTTTCCTATCTCAGAAGCAACTGTCAAACAGAGGTACAAGAAAGCAGAAAGTTATTATTCTTTATCCAGAGCTTGCACATTCACTTTGGGAAGCGGGAAGGAGAGAGATTCACCAGCCACCTGTAATATTGCATTACTCATAAAATGGATCTTTGAGTTTAATTGAACTTAAAGAATAAAGCCATAGGCAATCAGGAGAGAAAAATGCCCTCCGCATGTTTAGGGGATATTTAATTATTGAGGAATATTTATTCTACTAAGGACCACTAGTTTTTAGTTACAATAAGCAAACAAGAGCCTACTAAATTATGGAATCCTTAAAAGACTTAGCCTTACTTAATCTCTATCCCTAGAAGATAATGTTCTGGAAATGTTTGTAAATTGACTGTAAATAAAATAAGTGTAAAAAGGAAAATTTTAAGAGATTTTAGAGAGAAGGGAGACAGTCTTCCAGAGAGAGAAGATAAAAGAAGGGAATATTCAGAGAGGGCAGATATTGAAGGATGGAAGTAAAGGAAGAGAGAGTCCCTGGAAGACAAAGACACAGGAAGGGAAGCAAAGAAAGAGTAGGAGGACAGGGAAGGAGGTGAGCTGAGGCAATGGAGAGAGAGGACTGGTGATGTGAACTGGGGTTCTCAGGTTGCTGCCCCTCGAGGGAGCATATCCTCAATAGCAGTTTGAATAGTCCATTATGTGCTTGAAAAAGAACATTTCTGCTTTATTTTCAACCTTCTGAGTTTATTTCTAAAATAAACTTTTATATTCCCAAGAAACTCTAAAGATATTGCTCATATCTGAAAGCAGTCTAGTTTCAGAGGGTGATTTTCTTTTTTAACTTAGAGAATCATGTTTTTTTTTAACATGCAAAACTAACCTGATCACTTTATTTTGTGTTCTGAAATTATAGCTGCCATATTCTACTGCTTTATAAATAAATCAACATTTATTTTATCATTGGGAGCTTTAAAAGATAAACCTCAAGTTTTCATTTGGTTTGTTTGCATTCTAAATTAAAAAAAAGATAATGCAGAATAAATGACAAATAGAAAAACACATGAACTTAAATAGGTTAAAATTCCTAATTGGATATAATCTTAAAATTGGGAAGCAGACATACTCTCAAAATTCTTTCTATTCCTTACATTTAATGACAACAATAACAACAAAAATCCCGTAATTTTCTAGTCCAGAAGTAAAGAGAGTCAGGTATCATTTTAGAGAGGTGTTTTTTTTTTTTTTTAACTGTCATGGAATAATATTTCACTCTTGTGTTCTGATTTTTTAAATACAGCATTTAAATAATTCTTTTAAGATTTTATTTATTTATTTGAGAGAGAGTGTGCAAGGGGGAGAGGGGCAAAGCGGGAAGGAGAAGGAAAGCATTCTCGGAGGCGCTGAGCAGGGAGCCCTACCTGGGGCTCCTTCCTAGGACCCTGAGATCATGACCTGAGATGAAATCAAGAGTAGGACCCTAAACAGACTGAACCACCCAGGTGCCCCAATAATATAATTCTTTAAAACATTTTCATTTCAAGCCAGAAGTTCCTAGTCTGTCAGGATCTGCTCCTAATTTACCTGACTCCCTTTTCTCCAGGCTCCCTGGGTCAAGAAGCAATGCACTGATGGGGTCCTCTGAGGTGTCCTGCCACTTAGCCCTTAAATGACTGCAGAGTCCCCCCCCAGGAGGGTCTCCTCCCCCTAAGATGATTTCCCATGCATTCATCCACTGCTAGCTGTTGTTTTTGGTATTAATCCAGAGGTGTGCATGAATTACTTCTCTAGAACTGTTTCTTTTGCCAGAGGGGAAGTTCCTGTGTGTGGTTATTGATGTTCTTTTCAAAGTCAATAAATGACAAATAAAGAAATAATGGAAGATGATTTGTGGCAGTTATGCCTGCAGGCAGCTATAACACAAAAAGGGGAAGTTCATTTCATTATTTCAAAAGGCTGTAGGCTTAGTTTCTCCGTGGTGGCCGGGGAAGGGAGGACAACTCCTTAGTGTCAGCCCTGAGGTTAACTGGATAAGTAGTTTCCTGGCTTTGGCCTCAGCTCAGATTTTACCGTCTCTGGATGTGAGGCCAGTCCATGCTGTGATTCTGTTCACTTGAGAGTAGACTGCTTTGAATCTGTAAGAGGTTGGACATTTGATGGTGACAGTGCTGTGCATATTTTGTAGAGTTTTTTTTCCTGGTCCTAGTCATAGTGACAGATCATTGGCTCTAAAATCACCACAGTCATTGGAAAATTGTCAAGATAACCAAGATTATCAGGCTTGAGAACTGGCCTGAAAATCTCTTTCATACCCAGACTCATTGGAGGGAAATGCTGGATTCCAGAGCTCTGCATCTAGTCCACTGGCCCAAGTGTACAACCCTAGAAGATACTAGTGTGTTTGTCTATTTTTTTCCCTAAAATTATTTTCCAGTGGGCAAGTGTGTTCAAATGTACAGAAGCTATAATTTCCTGTTTTAATATTTTTCTTCTGAGCCTTTCAGTAAATTCTGGGCAAAGCAGGGGCTGAATACTGAGCCCTTCCAAAGTAGCATCACCAAATGCAAGTTCATACTTACTCTGGACAGTCTTGCTGTTGGGCAGGTATGTGCTGAATGACTTCGTAAATTGTACTGTGCAAATCTTGTCCTGATATGCCATCAGGGGTTGGAGCAGACCTACTTGGCATCTAGAAAATGTGGCACATTAAAAAAAAAAATTAGCAGACTAGTAAATAGTATGTCTACTCTGCTGCATAGTTGAAAACAACTGGAAGTGGTGATGATTAGAAGATTAGATCTGTTTATCTTCCCTACAATGTCCATCTTCTCCTTGCTATAGTTTCCTGCACTTACCCTATGGTAGTTTATGTAGCAGCATAGCTATGAAGTCAGAAGAGGAATAGCTTAACAATGCTATCACTTTTTTTCTTCATTTAGGAAAAAAGCTGGCAGTACTGTAAAGGAAATATAATAGAAAGAATAAAATAGCAAAAGAGAAGATATCAGGACAGCTTAGAATCAGAGAGCATATACGATTATCTTTTATATTACATCTCAGTTAGCTTTTTGACACTGTTTGCCAATTATATGTGCAAGGATGGTTGAAAAGAAAGAATAATGTGTAGACAAAAGCCCTCATCACACTGCAAGTTAATACAGACAGTACCAAGAAATACAGAACACACAAAGGGAGATGTTTTGGTTTGAACGCAGTCATGGATGGGCTCTAACTAAAGGCTTGGAAGAATGTGGGAAGCACTGCAGTATATTTCTGCCTGGTAAAAACCAACATGTATTTTGCTGAAACCGGCATTCATGTTCTATTAACTCCCCTTCCTTGTATCTGATAATTTTCTTCTTCTTGTAAACACTGCCTTCCAATTAGTTTGCTAAAGTCTGGTTCCCCTCCTCATCCCAAGCTCTTCCAATTTTCATCACACTTCCAATGGATCACTTTCAGTCTTGTATTTATAGAGTATCACCTAGAGGACTCTTTGCCCTTGATAAATCATCTGAAGAGTTTGTTATCTCAATCCAATTTAATCTGCTATGTTGCATTGGAACATCTTAGCTCTGTGTTTTCTTTGGAAACAGTTCCCATTCCACTTGCCTAAGTTCTCACGTGCAGCCCTAGGATATGTGATTCATTCTATCATTTTTGTGCCAAGGAGATTTTCTTTACCATTTGTACGGTTGGCCCTTGAACAAACTGGGTTTGAACTGCGCAGGTCCACTTATACATGGATATTTTTCAGTAAATACAGGACGTACTGTAAATGTATTTTCTCTTCCTTATGCTTTTCTTAGCATTTTTTCTCTAGCTTACTTTATTGTAAGAATACAATATATAATACAAATATGCATTAACTGACTGTTGATATTATTGGTAAGACTTTTGGTCAAAGTAGGCTACTAGTAGTTAAGTTTTGGGGGAGTCAAAAGTTATAGGCAGATTTTTGATTGGGTAGCCTTGGCACCCCTAACCCCCATGTTGTTCCAGGGTCAAGTGTACTTGAGATCAACTCTTGAGTTTTTTTGGTATGGGGGTGTTTGGGGGCTATGATAAAAGCAATCTATAGGTAATGACTTATTCACCTAAGCTCATATCAGCTGGTAACAAGTAATAAATTTGTTCATTTCATGCCATAGCTTTCTGTCCAATTCCCCAAAGAGGTGCTAAATGGACAGTAAAATCTACAGCAAGTAGAGAGAGGAGGAAGATTCCACATGTCCATGTACCACAAGCTGAGAGATGATTCTTATTTTTAAAAACTCAAAAAGTAAGTTATTTCCCTTCTTAACTTCAACTTTGACATCTTGGCCTTATTATTATTTTTCCTTTTCTTCTCAAAGCCATTGCATTTGGTTGCTAATCTTCACACATAACTGCCATGCTGGCTTCTTCTAACACCGGTTGTCCTACACATGTCTTGTTCCTCATCCTTTTCCTTCCATTGTTGGTGTTGATTTCTCACTTCTTCCCAAAGCACCTTGCACCACCAATGAAGAACCTTAGCTGACTCCTCAGGAATTTTCAGCTTTGAAGATGGGCATAGCTCCAAATTAAGTTATTCTACTTATAACAGAAATAAGGGCGGCTTCCGATATGTAATCAAAGTGCTCATTTCTCTGCCCCAATTTCTTGAAGATTATAGCATTTTGAGCATACAGGTCTTCCCAATAACATCTTCAAACTGAATACTAATTAATCACAAGGTTAAATTTAAAGTTTCTTACATAGATCTCACTCCTTTCTCATGAATTCCTAGGAATAAATTCTGCATCCTTATAAATAAAGAAACTCCCCAGTTTCAAAAATTCAACTCTAAGTCTTACCAGCTCTTCAGTTTCCTGCTCTCCTATTTAAAAGCCACACCTGACAAGGGGCTTTCTGCTGTGGTGAGAAGCTGTTTGAAATAATTGATCTACAAATATTTATTTTTGTCCTTTTCATTGTAGAAGTGAAAGGTGAGCCAGTGCTGTCTGAGACTGAATAGGGTAGTGCGAAGCTTTGCAATGCAGTTCTGCCCTTCATCTCTGATCATGGTGCTACCAACGTGCCCTTAGGAGGATGAAATATAAATCAGTCTCCCTCTATTACTCACATAGCATTTGTGAAGTAAAGTCTGTGGCTAGGAAAATTACTGTATGAACCTTATGCATTGATAGAATTCACTGAACAGACAGGTGAGGTAACCAATCCCTAATGACAAATAGTTCTTAAAAAAAAAAAAGGAAATGAAAATGCCTTGAAGCAAGTAGTTTGTTTATGGCCCCTTCCCTAAGTAAACTATCATAGGGGAACAAGAAAGCAGAGGTAAGACTGGCCCTACAGAAATCTATAAAAATGCTAACGAGCTTATTAGCTCAGAGAACATTCTTTAAGTCTGTTAAACAAAACATATTGTTTTAAAAGACCTTGTCTTTGCAAACTGAAAAAATGTTTCAATGGTGTAAAGGCTCCCCATCTCACATCTCAGGCACCTTTAGGATAAAAAATAAAGATGTGTACTTGCATACTTTGGGTTTATACGGTACCTTTCTTCTGAAGAGCATAAGGGTATGAGTAAGGGTATGATCATTTGTCTTTGCAAGCTATGAGGGGAAGGGAAGGGAAAGTGAGGAACAGAGAGAGAGAGAGAGAGTTCAGTGAAGTGACAGGCTCTAGCCATCAAGGTGATGCAGAATGATTTAAATCAGGGTCCCTGATCCCCTATTTGTTAAGTTCTCTTGAACTTCAACCTAGTTAGTTCTCTCTTTGCTGAGCTTACCAGGTAAAGAATGTTTACGAATTAGTGTAACTTCCTAATTCGTGTTAGCCTTACTTATAAAGGCCAAGAAAGATGCTTTAGCTCCTCAGATCTGGCAACATCATTCACTACAAAGTGAGTAAACTCTGCTGAGGGTAGCACAGCCATTTGACCAAACTGCCTGAGTGCTTAACTGAATGCTGCTTACACCTCTGGTTAATCAGCCACTAGGGAAACCAACCCTGGGAACACCAGAAGCATCTGGAAAAGCAACAAATTCATATATTCCAAAGTCATCCAGAGCATCTTCATGGCCTGAAATGTAAAACAAACACTACTTACAAATCAAATGCCTCGAACTGCTACTGTAGTTTTTTTTAAGCCTTTGTAAAACTTATCTTTACTGTTTGCTTCAAGTGGTATGTGTATAAAACCAATTTAACATTTCCTAATCCCCTATAGTCATATTGTCACTAAGCAGTGTTGGAAATCACTCCTTCAGAAGCTGAGAATTGAAACTAAATTGGGACAATTATTCTTAAAGTCTGATGTGGGAAGGTGTATTCTATATTCAAATGAACACGTGTGGGCAGGCTTGTCCTTTGTAACTCTCAGTTACCAAAGAGCACACCAAGGCTTCAGCCTGGGAGTCACAGCATCTCTTAATCTACACATAATATGTACTGCACCCTGCCAAATTTAAAACAGAGACCATCAGAACTAATAAGAATACATAATTAAATATAGCTGCCCATGTGTCCAAAATATAATACAAGGCAATATCAAAATCACCCAAACTATCATCTGTAAAATGATGGGAATGGGGTGGTTGGGAGGAACCAGATGGTCTCTGGGGCTTGATAAGAGGAAGCAGACCCACATTCACTAAGCATCCAGGCATATTAGGCACTCCACCTACATCATTGTATTTAATTCTCATAGCAACCCTGGTGTGTGTGTGGGGGGGGGAGTTATTATCTCTATTATATAGATGAGGAAGTTGAGGTCAAGAAAAATTCATTAATTTTCTCAAGGTGACACTGGAAAAAAGTGGCATATATGGCACTGAAACCCAGCTCCATGTGACTCCAGGCCTGAGTTAAAGCCCCATTGTTAGCTTATAACAACTCTGTAGGGAGTCAGTAGTGAATGGCAATGAGGGGCAATCTGGGGACAGAGAAGCAGCAAAGCTGTCAAACCTCCCTTTCCTTTTCTCCCTGGGATGGAGCTGCCAGCATTGTATCTGCTTTAGGAAAGACTAAATTGAGAGGGTCCTGGGCATTTTCAAAATAATACAAGGATCAATGGATTAGAATTCAAAAGAACTCAGTGACGGTGGGCAAGTGACTTAATCTCCAAGCCTTGGTTCTCTTGCCTATAAAAATGGAGTTGAGTGCCTTTCAGGCTTATTTTATAGACTTGCATGACTTAGATAAAACCAATACAAGGGATAGCACTTTGTAAAGTGAAGGCACTATTTAAAGGTAAAGGACTGTTAGTATTATATCAATAATAGCTTATGGGAATTATATCAATAGTACATTATATATAATAATTATTATCAACAATATTAATTCATATACATTAACATTGATATTAGTCTCTTTCAGCATGGCCATTACCTGAAAATGTTTGAGCTTTCCTGTATTCTGTTTCCGGCCTGAAAAAAAAATAGGTATTTCTGTCAGTGATAATAACTGAGGAAAAAGCATTCAGGAAAAAATTATTTTTGTAGGAACATACGTATTACCTGCCTCCTAGCTTCTGTTTTATAACTAAAACCAAGAGGAAAAAAAACCATAGTAAGGTACTTTTTAGTACACATATAAAACAATTTGTAAATTTTCTTTCTAATTTTAACCTACCTTTGTAGGGTTGATATTTTTTCCATAGGAAGAGAAGACACATGGATATAATCAAAAAGAGTGATATTCCAGTTATACTTGCTAAAGGGGACAATGATTTCCCTTTTTGTGCAAGCTTCTCCAGTCCTAAATAAAAGACATATGTTAAATATTTTTACTAAAGATCAATAATAAATTACTATATAGTTTGAGTTGTTTATGCTTTATCTGGGGACATTACTACACCTATATATTATATATTATTTCTTTTGTGTGTGAATGTATGTATATATATATATAGAGAGAGAGAGAGAGAGAGAGAGAGAAAGACGGGGTTGGGGGGGGAGGAGGGGAGACTGTGTGTTAGCAAGTGAGAATGAGAAAGTCCAAGCAGAAGGAATGCAGTTATTTTAGAAAACACAGCCATTTGACCACAATGGCCTAAACTCTCTAAGGATATTTGTAATTGGAAATGTGGTAATCTACCCAGGATAATACTGATGTGTTGTACTGGATGTAGCAAATAGCTTATGTCATACTTTCCAATAGTGTTCACCACCATTTAATTTAGATCTGTTTGATCTCATTGTATGAAACATTCCCAGTTGCTGAATTGTTCTCTTTCCTTCCATCTCACTCTTTCAGTATAATTCAGGTACATGGATATTCTAGGCAGGTAGTATGTGATTAAAGTGCCAGAGGGGAAGTGTTTATTTCAAATACACTCTACTAATTTTTGACCAATAAAGAAATTTTAATTCCTAAAATAGAATATGTGTGATTGTCAATAAAATATTTGGAGTCCCACACTGTAACTAAAATTCATTTGGGGGTGCCTGGGTAGCTCAGTCATCAAGTGTCTGTCTTTGGCTCAGGTCATGATCTCAGGGTCCCGGGATGGAGCCCGCATCCGGCTCCCTGCTCAGTGGGAAGGCTGCTTCTCCCTCTCCCACTCCCCCTGCTTGTGTTCCCTCTCTAGCTGTGTCTCTCTCTGTCAAATAAATAAATTAAAAAATCTTAAAAAAAATAAAAAAAATAAAATTCACTTTGTTTTGCAAGTCATTCCTTTTATTTAATATTCCTATATAAAATATGGGGTAATAGCTATAGCTAACACCTGCTGAGTGCTTATAATACATCCGGCTCTGTTCTAAGAGTGTATGATATATATTAACCCATTGAATGTTCACAACAATCAATAAGGAAGTATTATTATTATCATCCTCCTCTTATAGATGAGGAAGCTGAGGCTTGCCCAAGGTCACTCAGCTAATAAGTGGGCAGAGTTCAGATGTTCAGATGTTCAGGCTCTTGACACTTAGTGCTGCCTCCATTTTTTTTTTTTTTTAAAGATTTTATTTATTTGAGAGAGAGAGCGAGAGAGTGCACAAGTGGGTGGGAGGGGCAGAGAGAGGGAGAAGCAGGTTCCTGGCTGAGCAGGGACCCTGGGATCAGGACCTGAGCGTGAGCTGAAGGCAGTTGCTTAACTGACTGAGCCACCCAGGTGCCCCCCCTTTGATGCAATTTAAAACCAACTTATTAACCATGGCTACATTAACACCACTTTTAGACTATGATATGTTTAGTCATAGAGTTAATCTATAAAGTGGGAAGTAGTTGTGACCTGCAACAAATGTGAGTAACAGATGTCTTCCATGAATCACGTGACTCAGGTATTGATGTGGAAATGAAATGAACTGTGGCAGTTGCCTGTCCCAGTCCAGCTTAATGTGGGAGTGAACGTCATGGGATATTGCTTCCATCCTGGATGAACTTGGGTGCAGTGAAGAGCTTGGTGGCCACCCAGCTCTGCAATAAATATCCAGGCTGTACTGTGTTGTCTTCCCCAATAAAGACTCTGCAGCAAAGACAGGTCTCTAGCAGCAAAGACAAAGAAAAAACCTTAGTATTTATTTCCATTCTTTCACTGTGGCCATATACATACTCTCATGGCTTTTCTATCTAGAACACTTTCATCTTTTAATCTTCCCAGAATCTTCTCGTAATATAATATAGATCCCGTATGTCAAATTCCAGTTAAAAAGTCGTGGAAATCATTTATCTCTTCTAATTTTCTCATACAATGCTGTCCAATATTCCCCTTAAATCCTTAAGAGTTAAGCAAGGTTGTTTTGCATTATCAAAAATTTTTCCTATCTCCGATGGGAAGTTTATAAATTTCTGATACACATTCAGAAAACTGTGTTCTTAAAACGTTCTTTCTGTGGGATTATAATACCGGTGCAATATTTATTGCTTTTAAACATATTTTAAATTAAACTCTTAAATTTTGGATGGAAGAAATAAATGCATCACAGGGTGGTTTAAAACGAATGAGAATGGCAATTTTTGGTTCTAGATCTCCACTAGAACATCAAAAAAGTTATTAGAAAGATTATTTTTCCTTCTTTTCTCTGTTAATTTATATTCTCCCATTGTTGGAAAGCTGACCTTTTAGTTTGGAACTACTTTAGCATTTGGGTGATCTCTTTGTGAGGTTTGAGCCTTTCTTCAGATACTCTGCTCCTACTTCAAGGGTTTGTTCTTTCTAGAGAGCTGGGCAACATTGGATGAGCCACTTGACTTTGATGGCCTTGATTCTCACACTAGTGAAATGAGGAGGTTAGAGTGAGAGGCCTTTAAGTTCTCTTGCTGCTCTAATATCCTAGAATTTGGGGCAGCCAGAGAGTTTTACATGAAGTATATTATGTAAATAGGACACTATCCAGTGGGTCTACAGGTAACTGAGTCTCAAAAAAAATGTATGTATGTACATATATATATATATACACACACACACACAAAAGTTACAAATTTTAATGATAAAATGGAAGTGTAGCACATAACTTAGAATTATGTGCTATGTAAAATATGCAATACTCTTTATTGTTAATTACATATAGCTAACTGATTCTCAGGAAATGCATTTGTTGATTTTTGCTGAACTCTTATATTTTCCACCCATGGGTGAAATTCAACCATATTTTGAAAAAATTAGACTTTAAATAACTACTATGATTACTATGCAATTGAGCAAAGAAATAGCTTACATCATATATGATCAAGTGTAGTTTCAACATAGATATTGGTTGATATTTAATAAGATGAAAATGAAATAACAACATACATTGGAACTTCATACATTCATCAATGATGTGAATAACTGCTGGACTGAGTAATAGTTTTTGATGCTGGAAGAATAGGTCCTCAATTTTTTGTGCCATACATAATGTAATGGCTATGGACACAATATACTTTTTTTTTTTTTAGATTTTATTTATTTATTTGACAGAGAGACACAGCAAGAGAGGAACACAAGCAGGGGGAGTGGGAGAGGGAGAAGCAGGCTCCCTGCCAAGCAGGGAGCCCAATGCGGGGCTCGATCCCAGGACCCTGGGATCATGACCTGAGCCGAAGGCAGATGCTTAATGACTGAGCCACCCAGGCACCCCTGGACACAATATACTTTTAAATTTAATCTCTATTATTATTTTCTTCATCACTTTCTTAAGTGTAGACAATTTTACTATAGAACAACATCCTGTGAGTTTTTCAAAAGTAGTATTTTCATGATCATTAAGTTCAAAATATTTTATAATTTTCACTGAGATTTCTTTTTTTTTTTTAAGATTTTTTATTTATTTATCTGAGAGAGAGAATGGGAGACAGAGAGCATGAGAGGGGGAGGATCAGAGGGAGAAGCAGACTCCCTGCCGAGCAGGGAGCCCGATGCGGGACTCGATCCCGGGACTCCAGGATCACGACCCGAGCCGAAGGCAGTTGCTCAACCAACTGAACCACCCAGGCGCCCCATTCACTGAGATTTCTTATTTGACCTCTGAGTTATTTAGAAGCATGTTGCTTAATTTCCTGAAGTTTGGGAGTTTCCTAGTTTCTTCTCTGTTGTTGATTTTTAGTTGAAGTCCACTCTAGTTAGAGAGCAGACCCTGCTTTATTTCAATCATTCGAATGCCAAGATTTTAGAAAAATGACCATATACATGGTCATATGAACAGAGGGTGTGGTCTACAGTTGTTGTATGTTATATTCTATATTATTGAAATTAGGACAGATTGTTTTTCTCTATTCCAACTAAGTTTTTGTCTATGTATTCTATCAGTTACTGAGAGAGATATGCTAAAATCTCTCTCTGATTATGGATTTTTCTAGTTCTTTGTTAATTTTTGCTATTTATTATACTTTGAAGCAATGCTAGTAGATGCATTCAAATTCAGAATTTTTATATTCTCCTGCTGGATAGATCACTTTACTCTTATGAAATGTCCACTTTCTATCTAAAGTAATACTTCTTATCTTAAAAAATATATCTAATTCGCCTGATACTAGTAGAGCTTTATCAGCTTTCTTCTGGCTATTTTTATGGTTTATCTGTTCATTCTTTTACTTTCAATCTTTCAGTATCCTTACAGATAAGGTGTGTATCTTATAAACATCAAATTGTATTTTTTTGCATCAAATAGTATTTTTTAATCCAGTTTGACAATATTTGTCTTTTAGTTGGAATATTTGGTACATTAGCATTTAATGGAATTACTAAATATATTTGGCTGAGATCTACAATCTTATTATTTTTTCTGTATTTCCTCCATTTTTATCTCACCTTTCTTGTCTTAATTTGGATTAATCAGGATTTCATTTTATTCCTCTTTTCCTCTCTAGTTACTTGGTAGTTGTACATTTTTCTTTGTCTCTTAGACTTTGGAGATTTTAAAAAAACTAACCAAGATTTATAATACTTTTACTGTTTGCCACTTCCACTGGCCTCCAAAATACAAGAATAAGTTCCATATTAAAGATGAAAAGGCTAAGACTCCAGGATACAAACCTGAACTCAATTAATGTCTGACTATAATTCTATGCTTTCCATCACTTCCACCTGAAGTGAAGAAACAGAAGTCCTTCCACTCATTAAGCCCAAAGCCACTCAGTTCTACCAACTGAAATTACAAAAAATAAATCAAATCTTTTTCTGCATGATGCCATCTCAATTATTTATTGAAACTCTCATATCTCCCCTAGAATTCTCTTCTTCAGATTCAATATCTCCAAATGGTTTATTGTTCTTTGTATGACTGATTTCCACATTCTCTACTGTCCTAGAGATAGAATTTTGGAAACTCAACAAA